AGCAGGTTAGCATGTTTGGATATAGCTGCTTTTCTTCATAAGCGAGAGGGTGAATTTTGCTGGTAGGGTTGGTGAAACAGCTTAATGACATCGTTGATTCTGATTGGCTGCCTGTTCACACATCTTTAATAAAATTCGAGGGGCAGTACAGCAACAGGTTCATTAGGCTTGAGGCAGCTTTACTGCTGAGATTACATGGGATCATAATCCATAGAAACCGCAATTAACAGCTCAGAAATTGGCAGCAGAAGGAAAAATTATGACACAAGTTTATGATTCAGGCTTAAAAATGTATCTGAAAGTAACCAGATTTGAATTTCCTGAAGAAAATACCAGTACTTGCAAGGTGGCAAAATATAATGTTAAAGTTTTAGGTAAGCTATGATTTTTTTAATCTTAAAAAAAGAAAAGAAAAAGTAAATTAAATTACATAAATGCATTTGGCAGAAGCTTTTATCCAAAGTGGCCTACAATACATTGAAGGCTGACTATACATTTAATCAGCTTATGCATTACCTGGGAATCGAACTGCTGACGTTGGTGCCATGCTCTACTGTTCTGCATAAAGACATATGCAAAAGGTTTGAATAGAGTGAGTCTGTATATTTAGGCAGGATTAATAGCAAAAATTAATTACTTCAGGCTCGAAGTGTATAGGAACAAACAACCAGACTGTTTGAAGTTCATTCCAATACAAGCTAATGTCGCTGTGCTATGATGCTACTACGATCATTATGTCAACTCAACACTTGTAGTATCAACCATTGTAAATTACATGCTAAATTAATCTAAAGCCATGGATTAATAGATTCCGTCATACGGCAAGAACAGTGAGCTGCAGTGTGCCAAGAAAAGCATATGCAACTGATAAATATGAAACACTTCCACTTTACAAATGACAGAAAAGTGAAACCAAATAATTTAGGAAGCAATAATTAGCAATTCCCTGCTAATGGCATTGCCTGAAAAGCTTTAATTTATGCAAACAACTGCTTAATTTAGAGTCTGAGGTGTATATGACACTTCATGATGAAACAAATTCAATTGTTCATCTACATGCATGACAAACAGCATCTTGTTCATTATGCTCTGAGTCAGCTTGATCCAATTAGACTAGAACAGAGGCATTTGTAATCACTTCTCTTCCTACAAACCTCCACCCTCTGTTCATTTTGTTAGTCAGAGGAAAAATAAAAGTTGTGCTTGGGGACAACTTAGGAATACAAATGTTTAAGCTGTACTGGAAGAAAAAGGGCGACCTTTTGAGGAGGGGTCGAGGATGTGGGGGTAGGATAGTAGATGGCCCTCTCACCCTTGGGCCTCTGCTAATAGGTTTTGAAGAACAAGACCTAGCTCTCGCATTTCTTCAATGTCTTCCCTGTCTGCTCCTAAGGGAGTGATGGGGAAGTGGAGAAAAGTATAATGAACTCGTTTGCCTTTTTTGCCCCCTCCTTTAACTGTCATCTAAATCTCCCGTGTAGCCTAGTATGTCACTAGTCCAACATCCAACACACATTGCACATCTTTCAGCACCCTCTCAGGTCAGGGTAAACAGGCTAATTCACTTCATCACAGACTTGAACCTCACTAAGCTTCTGGTCCAGACCATGATTGGAATCTGTTTGAACCGTCACACATCTTCAGTGGTAGTTTAACAGTAAAAAAAAAAAAATCACTTGCTTTTCACTTGCTACTAAACTGTGCACTGTAAATATATTCACACTATCGTTCAAAAGTCAGGAGTTGGTAAGACATTTTAATGTTTTTAAAATAAATCTCTTACGCTTGCCAAGGCTAAATTATTTTTAATCAAAAATATACAGCAAAAAAAGTCATATTGTGAAATAATATTATAATTTAAAACAACTGTTTTTAATTTGAATATGTTTAAAAATGTATTCATGTGATGGTAAAACAGAATTGTCACTTTTTTAGCATCATTACTCCAGTCTTCAGTGTCACATGATCCTTTAGAAATCATTCTAATATGCTGATTTGCTGCTCAAGAAACATTTCTTATTATTATCAATGTTAAAAACAGTCGTGCTGCTTAATATTTTTTGTGGAAACACTGATAATTGTTTTTCATTATTCTTTGATGAATAGAAAGTTCAAAAGAACAGCATTTATTTGTAATAGCAATCTCAGAGTAATATTAAATATGTATATATATGAACATATTAAATTATTTCTAGTCAAGCTTTCAATATAATCACACATTTGAATAATTCTATGGTAAATGTTATCTATACCCAGATATCGATATGATATGTCTGTTATTGAAGACTGAGCCAATGTTTTATCACAGCCACTGTGAGCGCTCTCTAACATACTGGTGAACTAAATGAATGACAGTGAGAGAGAGGAAGAGAGAAAGTTTGACACGTGGTCACAAAGTGTGGACAAGCGTGTCTGTTTCTGATTAGCAGTACAGATCTTCATCAAGTGTCCTCGGCATCCTACAACGATTGATTGGAAACGTTCCATCTCTCCTCCCCCTCTGTAATGATGTAATGGAATCAATTAGCCTCCATTAATTTACCAAAAACAAATAAGCACCTCTGCCCTCTCACTCAGGTTTCATATGTGCTCACAGGTGGCTCTGATTTTCAGTGCTTTATCAGGGGCTGCCGTTGGGGGTAATCTGAAGGCTAAAGAGTCCAGGCCGGTAGAGGCCATGACCTTTTCCTCCCTTTCCCTGGACATTTGTCCTGAAGTCTGCAGCTGAACCTGGGTCACCTACCCTCAACAAATTCTTTTTGCATATACATATATATATAGCCACAGTGAAGTAACATTATGAATTTAAGCTGATCCAAACCCAATTGAAGTTGAATGATTGAAGGAGCATAAGTATATAAATAATACATTACACACATTTAAAAGGGCATAATCTGCAGAAAATGGCTTAATAGCTGCAACAACGAACAATGACACATAAAAGACTATTTTCTCTTAGATATCTTCCATTAGAACTTTTTGAATCCCAGTGCCTGTATTCAGTACTGAAATCTCATAGGAGGCCTTGGACTACTTTATCTCAGTCAAGCAAGCCAGTAGCACAAATGGATCCTAGACCATGGCTCCATACAGAAGAACAATGAGTGGAAAGCTGAAGTGGTCAGATTAGGGGAATGTGTAGTGACTGGATCACAAGGTATGGTTCACAACGCCCAGAAATTTACCCACCCTCTGCGTGGTGGCGCACTGATAAAGAGCCTAGCAATCATTTGATTCTGGCGTGCACTCAAAATACTAACCTAACAATCTCCACTCAAGACCCGTTGGCGGTTTAGTCAGTACATATGTTTGAAGTTTGCCTTTGTGATACAGAGTTAGCCAGGCTTTCAACTGGATACAAGTTTTTTTTTTTCACCAATTTCACTGACAAACGATACACAGTAAATCACAATCATCACCTTTGGATCAGGATTCATAATGATTCTTCATATTGATTTCCTATCAGACAAATTCAGAAAAAAAAAATCGGAAAAAAGTACACAAAAGCTGTTACTGGGGCGGTACCCGTTTAAAAGGTAAACCCTTGTACCTTATTTACCTCTAAAGGGTGCATACAAGTACCTTAAAGGTACATATTAGTACCTTTCAAAGGGAACAACCCCAGAGACTTTATTAATTGTCGATTCAAGGCAAAACATTTATCTCGTTTAATTTTGACCCGGGTAGTTATAGGAAATTAGTTATAGGAACTAGCCACCAGGGCAATTCCACGAGAACTAAATTTTCCCCTAGGGCCATTTTCCTGGTTGCATTCACCACCAGTAGGAGCTCTGAAGTGGCGGAAGCTAGCCCAGGCCCCAGTCCAACAGCGTGGCATTCAACAACATCAACAACTGGAGAATGGAGGACACTGTGATCGGAGCTGTGTTATTGTTGTGAGTCGTGGGATTCGTAATAAAAGAGATGGAATGTAGACGTATAAGTTATGTGATGGAAAGAGCAAAAACGAACTAAGAGACGAAATCTCCAACAACTTGCGGTGCTACATATCATCGAGGTTGAGAAAAGAACACAACACCACAGACAAAGGCAACAGGTAAATACAGTTAACATTAGCTTTCTGTATATGTTCGTGGAGAAAACTGTGTGTGTTTTACATGGCTTTTTAAAAATGGCAGGTGCTGTTTCATATGGCATATGTTTGACCAATCAATGTACACTTACGCCAATGGTAGTTCCTATTGTGCTAAGTTAGACCCTACTCTGAAGTAGGAGCTAATTTAGTTTCCCCAAAAGGCAATCCTAGAACTAAATTTGTTTCCAGGTCCTGCGGTGAGAACATGCCAAAAAGTGGGTACTTCCGCCATTAGTTCTAGGAACTATGAAAAGGTTCCTTTGGTGCGAAAACCCCTTATCTCAGAGGTTTTTGTAAATAAAATTCACATTGGAACATCTATGCATGATCAAAACTATGAAGAAAAGGCCTAAAACATTTAAAATAGCGCAGTCCTACAGCATCAACCTCAGGGCGCACACACACACACACACACACACACACACACACACACACACACACACACACACACACACACACACACACACACACACACACACACACACACACACACACACACACACACACACACACACACACACACACACACACAATCTCCTCTAGTTTCACAGAATAAAGATCAGTGGAAAAGCCAAGAGAGCTAGTGTGTGACTCTATAGCACTCTGATTGAAGTTGTTTATCACGACCTAGCCATCGGGAGAGGGCTCGACCAAGGAGTTTATCTGTAGCACGATTCAATTAAACAGCAATGATTTCACTCATGACAAAATCTTAATCTAGACTCCTGTGTTTTCTCGATAGGGGAGCATATGTTGGTTATATGATTGCTTTTCCTGCCTATCATATTTACTTTGGTCTGAGAGAACAGCAAATCTCTAACCCTCTGTCTCGCCTTTCTCACTCTCTGCTAGAAAGCAATTCCGGATACAGAAGTCAAGCACCCTGAAGCGTGTTAATACTCACATATTGAAGTCTTACAGCAGGGTTTAGATGCAGTTCCTGCCGACATGAGCGCTGATAACAGTCTCACAACAGCAGTGTAAAGTTTCTCTGGCCTGTGAAAGAGGAACACTGCACTTAAATAAAATGTTGTTAATCTAGAAATGTGCTTAAATGTTATTAAAAATTGAGTTAATGTGCATGAAAATTATTTTGTATTTGCTGAAAGTTTGCTTACTGGTGATATTTGGAAAAAGCTTTATATTTAGTTTTAGTCATTCATAAGGGAAAGTTTTCTCAGTAACTATAAGGTTTTGTATATCGATTTCAAGAGCCTTGTTTAAACCAAAAAAATAACGTTTTTTTTATAAAAAATAAACTTGTGTAAACAAAACACAGACACGCACACACACACACACACACACACACACACACACACACACACACACACACACACACACACACACACACTGTAATTAAGGTACAAATTTTAACTGTTCATTGTGACAACTTACCTAATATATCTGGACAACAAGTTCTTGTTAATCTTTCAACAAAGGAAATTTACCATGAAAACTTAAGTTGTTGTTGTTTTTTTACACTTTACAATTAAGGTCTCATTTGTTATAGTCTCAGCATCAGACATCAATGGACTGTTGGCTGAACATTTGATGCATATGGCCAACCAAATTGGAAACACTTTAGTGAGCTAATATCACAAACTATACATAATATAATATCTGTTTTTAACCTAGCCATTATAAATAAATAATATAATGTTTTTTATAATTTAATCTATATTGATTATATGAAAAGTGAACAGCATGAATCATGAGTAAGATAGGATCATTAGATACGCAATATACTGGGAGACATATGGAGTGGGTCAGACATGAATTTGACTACTTCATTAAGTTTTGTTTTGTATAAAGCCTTTCTTTAAAGTGAATTTTGTTTTGTATAAATTGTATCTTAATTTTAATCGATGTTTTATCAACCAATTGCCTAGATTTAATAAATGAGAAGCAAATATAGCAGACAATATAATCAAGCCATGGAGGCACTGACGCGATATTGCATTGCACTGCACGTGAACTGGAGCGTGTCTCATAAATAAACCGAAACTCAGCGTATAGGCTACTTCACAAGCATGATATATATTATATATACACTCACCGGCCACTTTATTAGGTACACCTGTCCAACTGCTCGTTAACACTTAATTTCTAAGCAGCCAATCACATGGCGGCAACTCAGTGCATTTAGGCATGTAGACATGGTCAAGACAATCTCCTGCAGTTCAAACCGAGCATCAGTATGGGGAAGAAAGTTGATTTGAGTGACTTTGAACGTGGCATGATTGTTGGTGCCAGAAGGGCTGGTCTGAGTATTTCAGAAACTGCTAATCTACTGGGATTTTCACGCACAACCATCTCTAGGGTTTACAGAGAATGGTCCGAAAAAGAAAAAACATCCAGTGAGCGGCAGTTCTGTGGGCGGAAATGCCTTGTTGATGCCAGAGGTCAGAGGAGAATGGCCAGACTGGTTCGAGCTGATAGAAGGGCAACAGTGACTGAAATAACCACTCGTTACAACCGAGGTATGCAGCAAAGCATTTGTGAAGCCACAACACGCACAACCTTGAGGCGGATGGGCTACAACAGCAGAAGACTCCACCGGGTACCACTCATCTCCACTACAAATAGGAAAAAGAGGCTACAATTTGCAAGAGCTCACCAAAATTGAACAGTTGAAGACTGGAAAAATGTTGCCTGGTCTGATGAGTCTCGATTTCTGTTGAGACATTCAGATGTAAGAGTCAGAATTTGGCGTAAACAGAATGAGAACATGGAACCATCATGCCTTGTTACCACTGTGCAGGCTGGTGGTGGTGGTGTAATGATGTGGGGGATGTTTTCCTGGCACACTTTAGGCCCCTTAGTGCCAATTGGGCATCGTTTAAATGCCACGGCCTACCTGAGCATTGTTTCTGACCATGTCCATCCCTTTATGGCCACCATGTACCCATCCTCTGATGGCTACTTCCACCATTTCACAAAGCTCTAATCATTTCAAATTGGTTTCTTGAACATGACAATGAGTTCACTGTACTAAAATGGCCTCCACAGTCACCAGATCTCAACCCAATAGAGCATCTTTGGGATGTGGTGGAACGGGAGATTCGCATCATGGATGTGCAGCCGACAAATCTGCGGCAACTGTGTGATGCCATCATGTCAATATGGACCAAACTCCCTGAGGAATGCTTCCAGCACCTTGTTGAATCTATGCCACGAAGAATTGAGGCAGTTCTGAAGGCAAAAGGGGGTCCAACCCGTTACTAGCATGGGGTACCTAATAAAGTGGCCGGTGAGTGTATATATATATATATATATATATATATAAAGCTTGAAATGTCTACTTTTATGCAAAACAATTCAAAACAAATAGAAACAGACTACTCTCCTATGTAATCCGTATAAAATGTGCATTTCTCTCTATAGGCACGTTCACTACACTCCAGGCTTTGATCACATCCCCCTCAGCAGGGTGAATACACCTCATCTTTCCTTAATTTAAAGGGTTAGTTCACCCAAAAATGAAAACTCTGTCAGTAATTACTCACCTTCATGTTGTTCCAATCCCGTAAAACTTTCGCTCATCTTCGGAAAAAAAATTAAGATATTTTTGATTAAATCTAAGAGCTAGCTCACTCCTTCATAGGCTGCTAGGTAATCGATATCTGCTATCCCAGAAAAGTTAGTAAAGACATTGTTAAAGTAGTCCAAGTGACTACAGTGGCTCAACCTTAAAGGGTTAGTTCACCCAAAAATGAAGACCAAGACCTCCGTTCATCTTCGGAACACAGTTTAAGATATTTTAGATTTAGTCCAAGAGCTTTCTGTCCCTCCATTGAAAATGTATAGCCTAGGCCTACATGGTATACTGTCCTTGTCCAGAAAGGAAATAAAAACATCATCAAAGTAGTCCATGTGACATCAGTGGGTTAGTTAGAATTTTTTGAAGCATCGAAAATACATTTTGGTCCAAAAATAACAAAAACTACGACTTTATTCAGCATTGTATTCTCTTCCGGTTCTGTTGTGAAGCCGCGTTCAGTGACGCTGATGACGTAAGACTCTGCTGACGTGTTATCTGGTTCGCCCGTGTATTCGTGTTCAAATAAATATGGCTGGGCAAAAAAATGCAAGTCTTCCTCTGTGTCGAAATCCTTAGACATGTTTGCGAAGATTGTTTTGTTTACAGCGTGCGTCTCCCTCAGACTGTAAACGAAGCTCGTGCGCACCAGATACACGTCAGCACCGTCTTACGTCAGCAGCGTCACTGAACGCGGCTTCACAACAGAACCGGAAGAGAATACAATGCTGAATAAAGTCGTAGTTTTTGTTATTTTTGGACCAAAATGTATTTTCGATGCTTCAAAAAATTCGAACTAACCCACTGATGTCACATGGACTACTTTGATGATGTCTTTATTTCCTTTCTGGACAAGGACAGTATACCGTGTAGGCCTATACATTTTCAATGGAGGGACAGAAAGCTCTCGGACTAAATCTAAAATATCTTAAACTGTGTTCCGAAGATGAACGGGTCTTACGGGCTTGGAACGACATGAGGGTGAGTCATTAATGACATAATTTTTGGGTGAACTAACCCTTTAAGTTTATCAAGCGACGAGAATACTTTCTGTGCGCAAAAAAAAACTTTATTCAACTATTCATTTTCTTCTGTGGGCCTCTGAGTGAGTTCATGGAGTGGAACAGCGCAGCGCTTCTGGGTTGTACATCAGAACGTAGGCTCACTATTGGCCAGGATCACACATGACCAGCGTCGACCAATAGTGAGCCTAGTGAGCCTACGTTCTGACGTACAACCCAGATTTCAGCTCTCAGATTTCATCAAAAATATCTTAATTTGTGTTCCGAAGATAAATGAAAGTCTTACAGGGTTGGAACTTGGAACAACATGAGCCTCGCTTTCGATTTCAAAATGGCGGCTGCGTGAAATCAGCGTATAGTTCCCACACGAGCATCTATACAACAGATTAACATGACGGTACAGGCTAGTCGATTAAATGATCAACGTAACTCCACAACAACTAAGTTACATAAATGTAACGTATCCACTAACCATTCAGAAACGTCCATGTACAGTCGCAGCCTCTTCCTGAGTCTCTCTGTCTGTGTCTGACTCCGGTTCAAACATGTAAGGCTGCACTCAGCTACTGAGTATTATTGACATTTTGCCTGAGAGAAATTCGGCTGTTATGTTGTTCCCATATCCAAGCTCATGCAAAGGATCGGCCGTCGTCTGAATGGGGGGTGGGGGTGGGGGTGGCCTGGGAGGGATTTGCATTTAAAGGGACACACACATAAAATGGAGCTTTTTCCCTCATACCCAAAAAGGGGCAACTTTGACATGCTATAATAAAAAAATCTGTCCGGTATTTTGAGCTGAAACTTCACAGACACATTCTGAGGACATCAGAGATTTTTTTTTTACATCATGTGAAATGCCGGTCTGTTATTGTAGGGACACTGACTTTACATTTGCCCACCGCTATACATAATGCTGAAAAAAAACACAAAAAAAACTGTGATTGGTTGAAAAGACATATACGGGCGGCACCTTATAAATGTCCTACTGCCCAGGTGCTTAGAATGACACTGTTAGCATTAACTTATGCTAATGAAATTCAATGGTCTTGTAGACTTTTATTGTACTCTGTTGTGTAGACAGAGATAGTTACAAATGTATCTGTCTCACAAGGCCGAAATCATACGTCCAGTCACTCACTTGATATTTCTCTCATGTGTGATCATGTACTGCTGACCTCTGGGCAGATGGAGATGGAGGAAGTGAAGTTCAGATGAGGTCAAATGCTAGTCCTCCTGATGGATTCCACCACAGGACAGTAATGTCACTCTCAGATTATTCATCATGCTGCCAATGAAAAAGAGGCTTATTGGAAAAAAGATCTAAAATACCTTATAATAACATCATAATAGTCTATACAATATTATAATAGTGTATTTACTATACAATTTTTTCATGTTTTTGAAAGAAGTCTCTAAGGCTGCTCACAAAGTGCTTACTAAGGCTGCATTTATTTGTTAAAAAATACAGTAAAAACAGTGCTATTGTCATTTCTTTCAGGATTCTTTGATGAAAAATGTTGAAGTAAACTAAAATAGTGCTGGCAAGTTCAATTTTAAACTCACAGATCTATTATTTTTGAATATTTAAATGAAAACAAAATGAATAATTTTGTTACCATCACTGCATATGAAAGATGATTTTACCCAAGTTTTAATAGAAAACATAACTTTAAAAATGGATATAAAGCAATGTGATTATTTGTTTCAATAAAGATTCATTAAAATATTGCATGCATGTAATTGCATCTCTTCACAGCAATATGTTAATGTTTTTTTTGTTGGTACAGTCGTATTCAAGTATCATACTGAATTTATCTTTACAATTAATGATGTATATTAGAGACTTCAATGTATGTATGACTGTATATAGTCATGCCAGATGGAGACTCTAGTGCCCTGATTTCTTGGATATTTAGTTTTCCATTTCAGCCTAAATCTGGACACTTGGTAGCACAGAGTGAGTGACTGAGTGTGTGTGTGAGTGTATGTGAGCGTGAGCTGTGTGGATAAGGAAGGTGAAAATGTGGAAATAAATAATATGGATTAGGTGCTGCGGAAACCTCATGTTTGTCCACGGCCGAATGAGTTTTTATCCTCTCTCTCTGTATGATAATACTTTTGTCAGGGCTCATGACCTAGTTGGTACAAATAGGCGAAAATTACGTCATTTGCAAATGTGCTTTCATTTCACGATAGTGCATAATTGTCTGAATGAAAGGAGATTACCTCTCTAGCCCTCTATAAACAGTAATACCACAGTAGAGGGGGGGAGGCAGGGAAGGAGGGGATGATAATTTGCCAAAAAACCCAAAGCATGGAAGCATGTTCTCAACCCAGGGTCCAGGTTATTCTGAGGGAGCCAATCTTTGATCAGCCAAGCTGAAATGGCCAAGATAAGTAGGAGCTACAACTCACGCCGGGACCCACACACAAGTCTGTTATTGCGATTTCCTCTCTAGTTTCTCAAGAGAGGTAAATAGCTGCTTCGCTCACCCCCCTCGCACCATTTCCCCTACCTTCAGCGAGCACTTTCACCTCACCAACCCCTCCCTTATCTACTCCCCACTTTCTTCTGGAGATCTCTGTCACTTTAATCCAGCCAGTCTGTGGCTGGTTAACAAGGAAATCCTGTGTCAATTATCACCAGGCACTTCCTGCTGGGAGAGCAATGGCGAATCAAAGTGGTCTGAGAGTCTTTCACACCAGAGGGAAGCAGCAGGCCTAATTAAATGGACCCTGTGTCCTGCCAGCAACCCGTAGCCTTAGCTACAGATAGCTCGCCCCTCGATAACCCCCACCTCTCGCCGAGCGATTGTTTTGATTGGGTGGAGCTGGCCGTTCAGTTTCCCCCACAGGCTTTTAAGGAGGGTGATACTAGACTAAGGGAAAGTGATGGATGAATATTTAGATGTGGAGGAGGCATGTGTGAAAGGGAGATCAGGACAATTTGTCCACGGTGATATGGATGGTGACAGAGAGGAGGGGGCAACATGCTTGACTTGTTCTCCCATTTTTTTAGGCTCCTGTGTCGGCTCACTTCCTCTTTCCACTTTGATGATCATTTTTGGTGTCGTTACTTATCCTACCTTATTTTAAAATGCATTTTATTAGACATATTTATTTAAAGACTATATCATTTAGTCTAAAAAAACCCCAACATAACTTTTTTTATGGTATTTTTTTTGGGACATAGAGCCGAATATTCAAGTCAATAAAAAATGGAATGCGCCTTCTGATGGCCCTGTTTGCTTGTGTTGTTTTAGTGCCCGATTCATTAAAAGGAATTGTGTAAATCATGTAACACGGCCACAAAATCTACAGAGTACAATTTGAATGCCGCACATATTCTAAGGTTGCAGAGGCTACAGCAGACTACTGCAATTTGGTTGTCTTTGCTGGACTGTTAGCATCACTCTACTGCTACAATCCGTTTACTGAGGGACGCTTTTTAAAATGTCAGAAGTGTGCTTTTCAACACCATACATTTAGATATATGACTGGTTATAATACTCTTCTCAATTTTGTGATGACTTACTGCTGCCATGATCACTACAAAAGTCTCCAATACTCTTCTCCCATATTGTGATGTACATCCGAGTGAAACAGATTATCCCAAAGAAAAACATTGTAGGGCAGGGACTTGGTTCAATCCATTGGTTGTTGGTTGGATGAAGGCAGCTCTAAATGTGAGCTTACAGTCAATTATAAGAAAGGTCCAGAATTTAAGCAGACTGAAATAAAGATGCTATGTGTGGATGAACCATTCACAATAAGATCAACAACATGCATTTAGAAAATAGATGGGGTGAATTTTCATTTCATACTGACTGTAAATTGGATTAAGGGTGCTTATAATGAATAAGTCTCAAGTTACTGTGGTGAAATACCATGCATCAATGGTGCTACTAGTGAATTCGCCAAATAATTTTCTAAATATTAATACCCCATGATTTACTTAAAGACTACTTAGAACCTTTCTTTGACGCATTAAAAACCAGCAAATAATATCTGGATTTGTGTGTATATAAATATGCCTCTGGCAGTATAACACTCCAATATGCAGAAAATAGGAATTCTTAGATACGTTTCAAGTGGCTGTTTATGAACCTTTGACTTCAGGTTCAAACCAGTATTTATCATCCTATCAGTCTGAGGGGGTCAGAATGTGTCCCATTGCCTTTACTTGTAGCAGTCGCTTCACTGAAGGCTGTCATTTACAGAAATAGAGTCGGCTGCATAATGTCAGATTATGCTGTCCCCCTCGTGTCACCACTCGAAAAGCTCTATTTATGACTCCATGAATCTATTTATGAGCCCATCTGAAAGTTTAAACTGTTGAAATGAATCATTTAAATGGTGCCAACATCTCGGCCCGATAGAAAGCGAAGCGGGAACTATATCTCCAATGCAGTTGAACCATTAGAAGTGTTGGAGTTGAAATTGAAAACTGTAAAAGAAGGCTTATATCCGCATTCTCGCACTGTATAACTTGTTCAAAAAGAACTTGCCCCGTGTTCCCGAGACACATTTTCCATAAATGAATCGAGCTCTAAAAATTCAGACATGCTAGAAACTTTCATGATCTAAACAGTGACAGAAAATCTGAAAAAGACCATATATATAAATGTATAAAAAGACTATTCTGCCTGGAGTGCTCACACACTTCTCTCAGTATATCCACAATTCCATATTCTGTCATCTCCTTGCCGTCCACCTCATCCACCTTTTACATTTCCATATGGAGAAGCAAAGACAGGGGAGTGGGAAAACCAATTTACCCACAGAGCGACATCATCTGCTGGGGCGTTTATCTCTGACACACCACCCCTCGGTCCACTGTTGACAGTACATGATATTCCATTAATCTGCCTAATGAAAATTTAACCAGTGTTATAAACAAATAATTGGCCATTATCCTCTCAAAGATCCCGAATAAATTACTTGGGCCTCTCTTTTTTCCTGCCGACTAGCAGGAGGAGGAGGGAGAGAGAGCTTTAGAGAGTGAGACGCGGAGAGAGACACTGAAAGCTAGAGAGAGAGACGGCCTTCCTGATTGATGTCGGAATAAACGCATAGGGTTCCCTCCGCCGCTGTGAGTGGGCTTCGGCTAAGCCTGTGATTGACTTAATGAGAGTCTTTGGGGTGAGTAAATGTTCCAAATTGCTCAGTCATTAGCTTTTGCGCGGCTGTCTGAAGATACCCCCGATCTGCTGCGCTGGGTCGACTCCTCTTGTACCATTCCGCCTGCAATTACATTTTCATTTAGAGCAAACCTCTGAAGTCCGATAGCCAGGCCCCCTTTTCATTATGCTGGCCTCCTTTTTCTTTTTTTATCTAAATGGTGTGAAATGTCTCTTCATTTAGACCAATTAAAGTTGAAAAAGACGCCACTGTAATGAATTATCATACAAATTATTTACTTAATGCTACGATCTCGCTCGCTCTCTCGCTTTCGCGTCCTCTCATCTCGTCCTGCGCTTCCCATCAGGGATGCGGGGCATGGATGGAGAGAGGGAAGGAAAGAGAGGACGGCGATAAGAGAGAAGTGCATTTGGCCTGCTGAGACCACATTAACATCTCTCGGCCTTTTAGCGAATGCTCTTT